CCACCACCACCACAAAAAAAAATCAATTTGCATATTTTCTTGTTTAAACAGTGAACATGTGCCCAATGTGATAATTTTGTGAGCCTACACTCAAATATTTAGTAGACTAAAAATGCCATAGTTTTTTTTTTCCAATTCTTGTTTTTTCGCTATCTTTTTTTTTTGGTGGGGGAGGAGGGTGGGAATAGTTGAAAAAATATTTCATAGTTTGGGAAAAAAAGGAGTCAAACTGATAAAAACTCATTAATAGATACAAAAACAACATCATATATATAATATTAACCTGTAAAATATCTAATCGTAGGTTAAGAAAATGACCCCGTTAAAAGCACTAACATAGGTTAATAAACTAACAAAGATTAGTTGCATTTTAAACCTTTTTAAAAGAGAGAGAAAAGGAATATGACTTGCATCCTAATCATACCTTTTGCTGAAATATAACATTCAGTTTTACGCTTGTAGCAAAGTAAGGTATTCTTTGGTCAAATTTCATATTATTTTCAGAAAGTGAGGTACTCTTGTAGCAAAGGTATATTCTTCAGCGAAGTGAGGTACTCTTGTAGCGAAGGTACCATTCAGTTTTGACTCATTGTCACATTATCTTCAGAAAGTGAACACTCAGCAAGTATTATGGCACTGAAGGAGAAAAGGCTAGGCGAGGGAAACGAGCTAATTAATACAAACCTTTTTCAAAGTTAAAGGTAGTGTTGGGTACTCCTCAAATCTCATTAATGAGAACATATGCAAGTGTTAAGTTAGAAATATTGAAAGACTAGTCAATATGAAGCGGCGAAAGTTTGAAGGTCATGTTCATGCATACGCGAGAAGATGAAATGGTGCATGTTCATGGTATTAATAGCTAGCTTCTTGAAGTACTCTTTGTAGACTATAAAAGAGGTATGTATATATGTTGAGTGATATCACCATTCTTTAGACTCTTGAGTGAGAGTGTACTCAGATTCTTGAGGTGGTGTGAGATGAGTGAGGGTTTACAAGTTTGTGTCGTGCAAAACTTGTATTAGTTTGTGAACTATAGTGAAAGATTAGGACTAATTGATAGGTTATAATTTCTAACGAAATATAGCTTATGCTTTTAGGGTTCTAGTAAATAAAAGATTAGGACTAATTGATAGGTTATAGTTTCTAACGAAATATAATTTATGCTTTTAGGGTTCTATTAAATGAAGAGATTAAATAAAATATCTAGATTAGAAACCTAGAAGAGTTAGCCTAAGTAACCTAGTTTAAGTCTATAAACCAACATCGATCCTTCAAGCGTAAAACCTTGATCAAACTCTAGGATCTTTAAATAGAATTTTGTTAACAAAATTTCCGAGAGGACGACCTATAAAGACTACAATGCGAGTTGTGCACTTGCATAATATAATTAAATAACACATCACGGAGTTATGATTATAGGATTTTATAAAGGCCCTCATTTGAATTCAATTATTCATCATCGCCAAATTCTCCATGGAAGTAATCAGAGCCATTCAAAAACTAGTAAGAACAGGACTTGGATAATTGGGACTTTTCTAATGATCTTGGTTGCATTATGTTGGGGTTTATGGATTGTGTTACACGAATATACCAGCAGCTATTCATTTCGAGTGGCACTATGGATTGTGTTACAGGTATATACCAGCAGCTATTCATTTCGAGTGCCAAATTTACCCCATCGCTTTTATATGTGATCAATGACCAAATTGTAAACAATTATTTATGTGCTACATGATTAATAATGCCAAAGTGAGAATAATTATTCACATGCTATATGATTAATAATTACACACATCTTGGCGATCTCTCACCTAAGCATTCATAAAATTAACTACTATAAACTAATATCATTCGTAATAGCAGCTTCATCATTGTGATTAGTCAAAAACACAACAGGGCACTAAACTCAATCAGATGGAGTTTGCTCTCCTAATCTGGAAAATTAAGATTAAGAAGAAACCTTGCCAATGTTAGTGCACGGACGATTCCAGTTATTTTCTATTGGAGGTTTTTCCTTTTAAACCCAAAGCTTTACTCTGATCTATGTTTGAACCCAAGTAGCTTTATTTATTCTTATAAACCTAAATAACTAATTTATATATTTGTCTTTAAAACCAATCTCCCAAATATGTAGCACATAGTACGTGTCTATATGGTCCCCTTTTAAGAAAAAACCCAAAATACCCTTTTTTCTTGTTAGAATGAGGGTGAAGATGGGAATTTTTAGTATGACGTTAAACGAATCAACTCTCTAGAGGAAATTTTAGAATTGTAAAAAACACCCTAGAAGTTTTGAATTACAATAAACACTCTTAAAATTCAAAATTTATAATAAATACCCAAAAAATTTAGAAATACATTAAAAATATAGGAATTATGAATAGACCCCTGAAATTTTTTAAATTTGCAAACAACACACTAAGATTTGTAAAAATTACAAAAAGCACTCTCAAAATTTAAAATTTATAAAAAACACCTTAACAAGTTCAAACCGTAAAAACATGTGTTTTTTGTATATGTTTCTAAAAATTTGATAGGTTTAGGATGTATTCGTAAAAAAATTCATGGTTTTTATTGCAATTGTTGAAACTTTTGAAGTGTTTTCTGCAAATTGTAACTATTTCAAGAGTATAATAATTCCTAGATTTATAGTGTACTGTTTGTGGGGTTAGAATTTTTCGGTTTTTTTATTGATTTTGCATTTTGGGGTGATTTTTCTAATTTTTAAAAAGTTCAATGTGCTTTCTACAAATTCTAAAAAAGAAAATTGCATGGGTTTTTTTTGGGTGGGGTGAATTTTAACGGTTTGGGGATATTTTGGATTTTTTTGCCCCGTAAAAGTATACTTACAACTGATTATATGTATTAAGATATACATAGTATGAAGATAAGAATATAGTTTAAATTGAAATATAAACATGAATGAAAGAGCAGCTTAAGTAAATTAGGCGATTTATTAAATACCAAATTTACAAACACCCCTCGCTCTTATATGTGATCAATGATCAAATTGCAAACAATTATTCATGTGCTACATGATTAATAATGCCAAAGTGAGAACAATAATTAAAATGCTATATGATTAATAATTGCACACATCGTGGCGATCTCTCACGGACTAAAATTCAAGTAGTTCACAATACGCTTAGGTTAATTAGACGATTTATTAAATACCAAATTTACACCCTCGCTCTTATATGTGATCAATGATCAAACTATAAACAATTATTCACATGCTACATAATTAATAATGTCAATCTGTAAATAATTATTCACATGATATATGATTAATAATTACACACAAAGTGATGATGTCTCACCGACTAAAATTAAAGTAGTTCAAAGTACTGCATAGTTAGTTTCAAATTTTAATTATATTGTTATTATTTAAATAGAACTCTATTTATAATTGTCATCATCACACATGCAACATCATATATCAATATATATAAGACAAGAAATTACAATAATTTCTATAGCACTTTTATCTCCTTCTACAGGCATGTGCCTTTGTTATTAGATTAGATTAGATTATTTTAAAGTAATTAATTATATCGTATAATTGATCTTTTTTTCAGATCAAGAAATTACAATAGTTTTCACAGTACTTTTATCTCCTTCAACAAGTATATGTCATTGTTATTTTCTTCTTATTAGAATAGATTAGATTGTTTAAAAATTATAAATTATAAAATTGTAATAATTTTCATAGTACTTTCATTTATTTTCTTATTATTAGATTAGATTAGATTATTTTAAAGAAATTAATTATATTGTATGTTTGATTTCTTTTCAGATCATAAAGTTTAATTATACTATTATTATTTAAATAGATGCTGTTTGTATAAAAGTCAAAGAGAATTTCACATGTATCTTTGATCTTAATGCCAATTATAATACTTATATATGAGTTTTTGTTAAAATAAATTTCATGTATGGGGTTAACTTATATGATCCTACTTTAATCGGATTAGATAATTTAACATTCGTTCTTTACACCCAAACTCTTCCACAGAACCAAGAGATTTTTAAAATTAATCTTGGGGGTTGCTTGCATTAAAAAATTATGTTAGAGGGCCCATATAGTCTGTTTTATAGTTTAAGTTTGTCAACACATTTTGTCTCTTATGCATATCAATTACGAGTAATAATATAATTTAATTAATACAAGTATATCCTAATATATTTCTGGAGTCTTATCTTGTCTTCTGCTCTTTATCATGTACAAACCTAGCGATTCTTATTCAATTCCTTCTTTTTTTCCTTTTTTGTCTCTTGACATTGTCTTTTGTTCTTCATTATGTACAAACTCATTTCATGGGTTAGGGTTATGGTTTTTTTTTTTTTTTGGGGGTGGTGGTTTTTGAGGGGGGAGCAGAAGACAATTAGGTTGATTTTGGTGTTGGACTTCATTATTTGAAGAGATTATTTCAAGAAATTCAACACCAACCTGATATTATAATTGATGTAGATGATGAAGACGCTACTCTAGAATTTTCTAATAAAAAGATAAAGGTGGAGAAGAATTGAACTCGGCTCAATTATAATATGAAATAAAAAGAATAAATGATAATATTTTTTGAACATTTTATATTATAACTTAATTTTTGAGTAAAATTAGGAATTTTTAGAATGAATTTCATGCTAATTTTTAGTATTTTTGTATGCTTATGTGATTGCTTTTATCACATAAAATTATAATGTAGTTACCATTAATCTTTGGTTTTGTCTTTTTAGTATTTTAAGTCTATCAAATAATGTAGGTTGAGATCTCATATATATATATATATATATATATATATATAGAAAAGTGCAGTGTAATTTTATTTTCAATGTAATAAGAAATGTTATTTTTTTATTGCTAGAACTATAGTTGATAATGATATTGTTATTTATCATTGACTTCATACTATAACTTGGGATTAGTAGAGTTTAGAATATGACATGTAGTATTAACTTAACTTATTTTTTTTACTATTATGCTTGAAGATATTATTATGTCAACTAATATCTTTGTGTGCGAAAATCAATTATGATATCCAAGTTAAGTATATTGATCCCAATTTAGCACAAAAATCCATCACATCAAATTTTTTATAATGTTTAAATAAAAATTATAGCAAATCTAATAATTAAAATGAATATGACTTATTTATGGTAATAAAATAAAAAATAAATTATTTTGATATTAAACCACATGCATTACACGTGCATTAAAAACTAGTGCAATCAAATGTTGGAGGTGCAAAAGATGGCATCCCAAAAGTTTAGATTCCATAGTCAACTATGTACTGAATGAATTAGGTTTATGCATTAGAGTCATACTTTACAATGTGTGTATTATGTATTTATTTAAAAAAATTATTACCAATCATCTGTTGGGAGTAATGGGATCTCTCGGGGAGTTGGATAAGCCTATGAAAAAGGAGATTTTATTTAGTCAATTAGTCTAAGCCACAGTCCATTCGCTTAAAACTCTTCTGAAGATTGGACTTTTACCCTATCTGTAATATCCCAAAAAAATTCAGAGGAAAAATACACTAGTAAATTACAACTGGAAAAAAAAGAGTTTTTCTTTCTTCTTCTTAAGACCATTACATTTGGGGGAGGGGGTCCTCGATAAAAAATCACACCGGGTTTTGCCTCATAACCCCCTAAACTTTTTAAGCTCAAATAATCCCGTTGGTTTTGGGGCGCTTTGACACCCACATGTTTTGATACCCGATTTTTTAAAAAAAACCAACCCCGCATATGTGATATCAAAGCCCATGGGCACACATTTTCCCTATTTCATATAACAAAGTCCTGTAAGGACCTGTTTGGTTCGTTTCCTTTATTTTCCAAAACCTATTTTTCTTCACTTTCATCATTTTCCATCCTTACAAATCTTTCACATCAACCAATAATATGGTGACAACTCATCTCATATCATCTCATTTCTTACTTTTAGGGGCCGTTTGGTTGGTTTCCTAAAAACCAAGAAAAAAAAATCGGTACAAGGAAACCAATAAAATAATATTTTTATCCATTTTTATCCCTAAAACTCACCCACAACATCCAATAAAATAATATTTTTATCCTCCAACTCATCTCATTTCATCTCATTTCCTACCTTTAAAAATAAACCAAACACAAGAAATATGTCACATCATCCAACTCATCACATCTTATCTTATCTCATTTTTAAAAATCACACACATCATCCAATAATATTGTGATAACTCATCTCGTCTCATTAAACCTTCCTTTCCATCCATTTTCTTAAAAAAAAATAAGAAATTAATTTCCTTAAGTATGTGTCACATCATCCAATAATATACCTCAAACTCATCTCATCTCATCTATTTTCTTATTTTTAAAAATGAACTAAACACAAACAACCTCAAAACATCATCCAATAATATATCTCCAATTCATTTTCTTATTTTTTTAACCAACCAAACAACCTCAAAATAAGTTTTTTTAAAAAATCACTCACATCATCCACAATAATTATCCGCATTTCTTATCAATTATCAAGCCCACACAATCACATCGTACCAAAGCCCACACAATATAATATCCGAACTGTTTATTAATGAAGCCCACAACACACTATTTTATCCGAAAGAATAAAAACCGACATCAAATCAACTATCCCGGATTTCTTTATTAATCAATTTCTTTTGTGGCTAATAAAACAAACATCAAGACTGAGAGGGCCCCAGAAGGTAAAACGTCACATTCACATAATAATTATAAACTTTAGTTTTTGTCTCAATAATGTCACGTTAACTTTAGAGAGTGAGAGCACTCAGCACTTGTCAGTGCACTGACATAATTGATCGCTTAGTATATATCACATGAGTTAAAAAGCACTCATAACTCTCTCTCTCTCTCTCTCTCTCTCTCTGAATCAATTTGCGACAACAATGGGAGAAAACAAGCCATATTTGGCCATGATCATAGTTCAGATTATATTTGCAGGCATGTCCATGATCTCCAAAGCTGCCTTCAATGGGGGCATGAACACCTTTGTGTTTGTATTCTACAGGCAAGCTATTGCTGCAGTTATATTATTGCCTCTAGCTATAATATTTGCAAGGTAAGTTTGTTCTCTTTCCAAGAATTTAAATTGGGTACTAATTGCGAACGTAACTTTTGTACTATCTTCCAACTTTGAAGAGACTCCGCGGAGTTCTATTTGTAAGAAATGTGTATAAAAAAAAAAGGGAAAAATGTGTCCAGGCCCCAAAAGCAGAATGTTCATGTGACCCGCCCCCTTGTATTTTGCCCCATGTGATTCAGCCCCAAAAAGTATCATTTAATATTTTAAGGCCCCTCCACGTCAGCAGTATAAAAAAAGAGATTGTATTTTGAAAAAAAACCCGAAATTACCCCTCCACTTATCTTCCCTAGACGTCTGGTCCACAAACTACATGGAAAGTCACGCCCATTAATGCAATCTGATGGAAAAAATAGAGGGAAATTTCCCGCCCTTTTTTGAACTCTATCATGAGCAATAACTCATGTTAGTTCTAAGTTATTTAATGTTAGTTCTAAGTTATTTAATGTTAGTTCTAACTTATTTTATGTTAGTTCTAATTTAGTTCTAATTCATGTTAGTTCTAATGTTAGTTCTAAGTTATTTAATGTTTGTTCTAACTTATTTTATGTTGTTCTATGTTAGTTCTAATTTAGTTCTGACTTATTTAATGTTAGTTCTACTTCCAGCTAGTGTTGGTTCTAATATAAGCGTTAGTTCTAGTGGCTATATTAGTTCTAATTGAGCTCCTGTTAGGACTGACACGATACCTGTTAGAATTGATACTGGAGAAGCTAGAACTAACACATCATCAAGTAGAAGTAATATGACATTTAGACCTAACAATTACGCTGGAACTAACGACTTAAATAAATTAGAACTAACACGATACCAGTTAGAACTAACACTAGAGAAGCTAGAACTAACACATCATTAAATAGAACTAACATGGCGTTTAGACCCAACAATTACGTAGAACTAATGACTTAAATAAATTACAACTAACACGATATCTGTTAGAACTAACACTAGAACTAACACATTAAATAAATTAAAACTAACACGAGCTGGTAAAAATTAGAACTAACCACATTAGTTCTAATTTATACAAAGTTAGTTCTATTTTATAACAAGTTAGTTCTAATTTTATACCATGTTAGTTCTAATTTTATGCCACGTTAGTTCTAATTTATGCCAAGTTAGTTCTAATTTATACAAGTTAGTTCTATTTTATAACAAGCTATCTCTAAATTATACAATGTTAATTCTATTCTGGAGCGTGTTAGTTCTAATCTATACCATGTTAGATCTATTCTGTAGCGTGTTAGTTCTAATCTGCACAGTGTTAGTTCTATTCTGTAGAGTGTTAGTTCTAATCTGCACAGTGTTAGTTCTATTCTGTAGAGTGTTAGTTCTAATCTGCACAGTGTTAGTTCTATTCTGTAGAGTGTTAGTTCTAATCTGCACAGTGTTAGTTCTATTCTGTAGAGTGTTAGTTCTAATCTGCACAGTGTTAGTTCTATTCTGTAGAGTGTTAGTTCTAATCTGCACAGTGTTAGTTCTATTCTGTAGAGTGTTAGTTCTAATCTGCACAGTGTTAGTTCTATTCTGTAGAGTGTTAGTTCTAATCTGCACAGTGTTAGTTCTATTCTGTAGAGTGTTAGTTCTAATCTGCACAGTGTTAGTTCTATTCTGTAGAGTGTTAGTTCTAATCTGCACAGTGTTAGTTCTATTCTGTAGAGTGTTAGTTCTAATCTGCACAGTGTTAGTTCTATTCTGTAGAGTGTTAGTTCTAATCTGCACAGTGTTAGTTCTATTCTGTAGAGTGTTAGTTCTAATCTGCACAGTGTTAGTTCTATTCTGTAGAGTGTTAGTTCTAATCTGCACAGTGTTAGTTCTATTCTGTAGAGTGTTAGTTCTAATCTGCACAGTGTTAGTTCTAATCTGTAGAGTGTTAGTTCTATTCTGCACAGTGTTAGTTCCGTTCTGTAGAGTGTTAGTTCTAATCTGCACAGTGTTAGTTCTATTCTGTAGAGTGTTAGTTCTAATCTGCACAGTGTTAGTTCTAATCTGTAGAGTGTTAGTTCTATTCTGCACAGTATTAGTTCAAGTCTGTAGAGTGTTAGTGCTATCCTGTAGAGTGTTAGTTCTATTCTGTAATCTGTTCCGATCCAAGTCAGTTCTGCTTCTGCACATGTTAGTACTATCTGATACCAAGTTAGTTCTATTCTTTGGCTTGTTACTCCTAGCCCCTCGAGCGCATCGAATAACTGAGATGTTAGTTCTATTCTTTTAAGCGTGTTAGGCCTAATATGATAGTTGTTTTGTTACTTACAACTTTTTATCTAGTGTAAGCTGATGTTAGTTCCCGATTAACAAAGAGTAAACATTCAATCGGAAAAAAACAAAATATTTGTTGCATACTGGGACGAAAACACTTCAACATATCAAACACTTAGTCAGCTATAGATTCATTACATGTTTTACGGTTATGACCTTCCATATGACATCGAGAACATTTTACTGGCCGCGTGTAAACAGTTCTGTTGTTGATACGCCTGGTTTTATTTCTCCCTTTCCTTTTTGTTGTAAGTGGAGGTAGGATCTGTATCTCATCCCTTGGCACGATGCGCTTCTCAAAGTCAGGGATAGGGTAGAGGATTGGCTCGTAGCTCTTTTTAAAGGCTTCAACCGTCATAAACCAGTCACAGAACTGGTAGACATCCCTTTTCATAAACATAATGGATGCGCATGCATGTTTGCAAGGGACACGGGTTACATCCCACCCACGGCAAGTGCATGTTTTATTGTCTAGATCCACTTGACAAGATCTATGGGATTGTACCTCAAATAATCCTGTGTGGGACTGACGAACCTCCAATGGACGACCATTTTCCATGTTCTCTTTGAGAGCAAGTTCAGCTTTGGGGCAAAGAAATTGATTCCAACTTTCAGCCATGGTTCGTCGCTCATTCATACGAACCATAATCTGTTTACGTATGTGCTCTACCAGTTGAAGTATCCGTAGTAGCCTAGCCTCATGTATCCATTTGTTGAATGACTCTGCAACATTTGATGTAACGTGACCATATCTGAAACATAATAGGGAATTCGTCAAGCGGCTTATAATAGTCATGTAATGAAATAGCTTATAACTTACCTAACTCCAGGGAAAAACGCATAGAGAGAGAGAGAGAGAGAGAGAGAGAGAGAGAGAGATGGGATGGGGTTAAAGGGATGGGCGCAGTTACCAAGCTCAATCAAATCAAAGGGTAAATTTGTAACTTTTGTTGGATTTTTCTCAGGATCTGGTACTTTGGGGCCTTAACACAAATACAATGTGTATTTGGGGCTGAATCACATGGGGCAAAATACAAGGGGGCGGGTCACATGAACTTTCTGCTTTTGGGGCCTGGACACATTTTTCCCAAAAAAAAATTTACTCTTAAATCGCTAAAATGTTTGAAGAGGCAGATAGACGCTCCATAGTTCTACTGTTGAGAGTAGATCTTTTTTTTTTTTTTTACTTTTAAAAGAGTTGAAAAAGTTCACTAAAAGGGTCTACTCGCATGAACAGAACTACAAAGGATCTATTCTCAGTGGGGTGATACTATAAGGGGTCTATCCTCAATTAACCCATCTAAATATTTTTCATTCGTTATTTTCTCAAGCTTGATTGAGTTCAGGGAATGTTAGGAAAACTGCCCCTCCATTGCCATTCAAATTGATGTTCAAGATTTTCATGCTTGCTCTATTCGGGTATTATATATTTCATTGCTTTCCCAATTCTTATTAGTTATTATTATTATTATTATTATTATTATTATTATTTTGTAACATTTTATAACTTTTATTTGAATTTAGATACACAGTCAACTTGAACATGCACAGTATCGCCATCAACCTCACCTCTGCAACAGTAAATCTCATACCTGTTTTCACTTTTATTATTGCACTTTTATTTCGGTAATTTCAGATTATACTTAAACCATACATTTTTATATAAACTCAGAGAAATATCTATATGGTTTCATAATTTTGACTGATATATATTATAGGGAAGAAATTATCAGATTGAGGACTTTCACAGGAATCGCCAAGGCAATTGGAATACTAATTTGCTTTACAGGAGTCATGATTATTGCATTTTATAAAGATCGTCATTCGAATCCATTCATCAACGATCACCAAATTCTCCACGGAAGTAATCAGAATCGTTCACATACTAGTATGAACAGGACATGGATAATTGGCACTTTTCTCATGATTTTGGTTGCATTTTGTTGGGCTTTATGGTTTGTGTTACAGGTATATACCTAATATTGTTCATTCTTAAATCTTAATCTCTACTAAGATACTCAATGGTTTTATTTACTTTTCTAAATTATAGGGGTTATTATTGAAGGAATATCCATCATGGATTTGGTCCTCTGCTCTTGTGAGCATGTTTAGTGCACTCCAGTGCTTTGTTGTTGCCAACATCGCAGTAGAGAGGAATGTGAACAAATGGAAGCTACATTGGGATGGCGGACTTCTTGCAGTAGTATATAATGTAAATGGTTTCTTGCATGCGATACGATAAAATTTGTATAAAATTTGTAGATAACCGATAAATCCTTTTTAATTAGTTCATCGACTAATGAATATGATCTCAAATTTGACACATACAGGGAGTGTTGGTGGCTGGACTCGTGTTATACTTGCAAACTTGGTGTATACACAAAAAAGGCCCTGTCTTTGTGGGAATGTTCTTTCCTTTGGCTCTTGTTGTTACCATTATAGCCTCCTCCTTCATCATAGAGGAAGTTGTAAGTCCTGGAAGGTAATCATCGATCATTTCTTTCGAAAAATCTATTTTGTGGTGGTAATTTTGGTTATTAATTAATTAACCTGGTGCTGGTGTTTTGGTTTGTGATACTGAACATATATATGCTGCAGCATTGTGGGTGGAGCTTTTATGGTTGTAGGCCTTTATTCTGTCCTATGGGGAAAGAGCGAATTCAAATGCTGAGGATGCAAAAGAGAGAAACTCACATGTTGAGGTTGCAAAGGATTGCATCTCAAAAGTTTAGATTCCTGAATGGATTTGGTTCATAACATAGTTCAGATTAATTTTTGAGTGATGCTATCTGATTTCCCTTCTTCTTTTTTTTTTTAATCCGACCCGGTAGCATTATTATGGGATGCTATAGGAGAAACTCAAATGTTGAGGGTGCATGATGGATGAAAGTTTGTATATTGTGGTAACAAATTTAGAATTTGCTGTGGAGATGATTTATTCTTTTCGTTAGTTGATTAACATATGAGGAAACCCTTTGGTTACAAGGTAAGTGTTAGATATGTTTTCAAAAAAATATTGTTTTACATATGGCCTTGAAAGCCTGTTTATTAATTATGTTCTTTGAACGACTTTATTCAGTATAGTCGACATTTACTTCCTAATGCAAATTAGGAACTTTTTTTATATGTAATTCGCTCAAGTGAGTTTGATAAGTTTAACAGTAAAATTTAACTAATATAGTAAGAATTAAAATGTTCTCAAATTAGTATGTGAGTGTTGCATGATTATCTTTTGGGGGAAATTCTTCTAAAGTGAGACTTTTAAAAACTTTTATGCTATGTTTGGGAGTTTACAGGAGGGGAAGGGAAGGAGAAACAAGGCAAATGAAAGGAAATGAATGGGAGGGGGGGTGTAATAATCATGTTTAAAAGTTTAGTAAATGGAACGGAAGGGAATCATTTCTTAGCCGTTGGATTCTTATCATGATAGCCCAAAATTATAAAGGGATTTTTTTCATAAGGGTAAATTTTGTTTCACTTTTCATTTTCGACATTTTTATTCCTCATGTTGTTCTTACGTTCAATTTCTACGTTGGATTCTTATCATGATAGCCCAAAATTATAAAGGGATTTTTTTCATAAGGGTAAATTTTGTTTCACTTTTCATTTTCGACATTTTTATTCCTCATGTTGTTCTTACGTTCAATTTCTACGTTGGATTCTTATCATGATAGCCCAAAATTATAAAGGGATTTTTTTCATAAGGGTAAATTTTGTTTCACTTTTCATTTTCGACATTTTTATTCCTCATGTTGTTCTTACGTTCAATTTCTACCTATCATGACGATAAAATGTTGGGTCTTGCAAAATTCGGATTTCACTAGAATGAGGGTCAGTTTTTGCATATAAACTTACGCCTCATTTGGCATGCAGGAATGGAGTGGAATGGAATGGTCATTCCCACTTCTCATTCCCCCACATCAAACATAACCATTTTTTAGAAGTTGGAATGATCATTTCTAGGGAATGCTCATTCCCACTTTTTGTGGGAATGAACATTCCAAGTGAATTGATGGGGAATGGTCATTTCCTTTCAAGTGGGAATAATATTAGTTACTTAATTTCTAATTACACACCCATTGATGATAAAAATAAAATTAAAAATCTTGTCACATTGAGCGACATAACTAGATTAATAACATGGATATGTATGAACAATTGATTAAGATGTTTTTCCTTAGACTTGCATATATAGGGAAATGGATTCTATGATAGAAACACGAAATATTGATTATTTTTATAAAGTTTATTTTTAAAAATAAAATTATTTAGTTATTATTATTATTATTATTTATTTTTATCTTTTTAAAAATCTATGTTGTTATAAGGGCATTATTAGAAAATTAGGTTTCATTCTCACTTGTGAAGTAATGATACCAAACATGAGAATGAGAATGGAATTTTCATTCTAGCTTCATTCTGCAAACGCACCCAAACAAAAAAGAATGGGAATGGGCATTTCATTCCCGCATACATTCCATTCCATTCATTCTTCCATTCCATTCTCATTTGAGTCCATTCCTGCGTACCAAACGATGCGTCGGGGTTTTACCCTGATTTATTTTAAAACCCACCCACTTTCAAGTTCACCCACAAAACCCAAAATACCAAATCCACTAATCTTTGACGATTTCTAGTTCACATTCTAGCTAGTATTGCCGGCAGTTCAGATCTAAAAGCAGAGACCATGGCCGTGTTTCTTGAGGTTGAGGATGGATGATTGCAGAGTGTGATGGTTATTGATGCTAGTGGAGGTGATAATTACGCGCCCTCTGAGTTTATGGTGGCTTTTGAGTTTGCGTTGGAGGCTGCTTGTACGTTTATAAGTACTAGTTGAGATGCACGTGCAATGCACGTGGTTGAATATCATAATTATTTAAATTGATAAAAGTAGAATAAAAATAAAAAAGAAAACAAAGTTTTTTGTGAGATTGATAGAAGTAAAACTTTAATAAACTTTTACCAAACCGAAGTAAAACTGCAAATTACAAACACCTTAAAAATATTACAAAGAAGTAGTTGAGGAGCAACGCTTGTACTTGAAGAATTGATTAACTTTTATTCTTTGAAAAATATTACAAAAAATAATATCATTAAGGTATGGTTCAGCATTCTCTGTATCATAGAAATAAAATTAAAAGTATGAAGAATTATTTTCTTGCGAAATTAGAGCAGGGAGATTATGATATATTTTCCTATGTGCTCTAAATATAATTTTTTTCCTTTGATGCAAGGTCTCTATCATATCTTGCTCCAAATAATATGAATAAAAATGCTATTATAAATTACTTGCCTCAGACAATTGTATTGTATATAGGACATATAACTCATATGGAATATCCACATTTGCTAAGTGGATTTTGTTGTTGCAAGAGCAAAATATTAGAGGCTTGTGTTCAAACTTTTTGGCTCTATAAAACACACAAGAATTTAGAGTGCATAGCTTATATGTTGTAAAGAGCATACTGGCTCATGAAGAATTTTCCCTAATAACAATATTATTACAATGATACTAATATTCAGTATTAAATCAACTTTATTATATAAGATTATACGACCCTTTTTAATAAAATGTGTGTGTGTGTGTGTGTGTGTGTGTGTGTGTGGAAACCTTGATGCTTGTAGCCAGTAGTTGAGCTCCACAAAATTGGTTAACGTTGACCTAATACATCTTAAGAACGACTTACTCTTCATTATCATTATTAATTAACGAATCTATACATTACACTGAAAACACAATGAATATTTAGAAAACTATAAAAGAAACACCCTCAAAGTTTTAAAAATTATAAAAAAAAACACCCTAAAATTTATAATTTACAAATATACAAAACTATTAAACATTACATTGAAATCAAAGAATTGCAAAAAATTATTGAAAATTTTCAAACTTTGGAGGGGTAATTTGCAATGTACTAAACTTTAAGGGTGATTTTTATAAATTTTAAATTTAATAGATTTTTAATTAGTTATATTCTTTTCAAAAAGTTATGGTTAATATTGACCATGAAAAGTATTTCTTAAACCTATACTTTTAAAGGGAGTATGATATTTTTTACAAATTTTTTAATTTTCTAGGGGTTATTAGTACGTTTGTATATTCATTTTAGTGTCTATAGGTTAGAAATTCTCATGGTGTTTTTTTTGAAAATTATAAATTTTAGGGTTTTTTGTAATTTTTTAAACTTTTAGGCCATTTCTACATATTGCAAATTATTTATAGACTATTTATAATTCCTTTGTTTTCAATTTACTAATGAGTTTACAATTCTCATGGTGTTTTTTTTTGTAAAATTTAAAATTTGAGTTTTTGTTTATAATTTTTGAAACTTTAAGGGTGTTTTCTATAAATTATAAATTATGTAGGGGATATTTACAATTCTTATATTTTCAATATACTGTTAGGTTAGAAATTATCAATATTTTTATAAATTTTACAATTTTGAGGGTTTTAATTTGTAATTTTGTAAAAAGTTTAGAGAGTTTATTGCAAATTCCATAAATTTTTAGGGTTTATTTGTGTTATTTGTAGGTTTCTAGTGTTTATAGGTTTGAAATTTTCAAGGTGTTTTTTACAAAATTTAAAATTTTAGTGGTGTTTTTATATTTTTCAAAACTTACAAGATATTTTCTCCAAAGTGAAAAAAACTTTTAGTTTCTAGCTAGGATATGTTTTTTTAGATTTCTCACTAAATTAAAATAAGTAAAATTTATAATTTTCAAGGTGTTTTAATATAATTTTGAATTTGTAGGGGTGTTTTTACAATTTAAAAACTTGAAGGATATTTTTTACAAAGTCCAAAAATGCTAAAGTGCTAGCTAGCATATGTTTTTTTAGATTTCTCTGCGAACTGAAATAAGTAAATGATTTGAATTATATCAAATGTGTCTTCTTTATCCAATAACATGTTAAATATCATTATGAATAAGATAAATTATTTAATTACCAATTCAAAGAAGATATGATAATTAAAATAGATTAGGATAATAATGTAATATTTAAAAAAGTTAAGGGTAATATTGACCATGAAAAGATTTTTCCGAACTCGTAATTTTAAAAAGAGTATGATATGATACGATATGATATGATATGATATATGGGTCTAAAGATAAACATATTTAGTATTTTGGATTAAGGAGTAAATTTGCAACTTTGGTGGGTTTAAAATAAGTAAGGGTAAAACATTGGGTTTATAAGCAAAAACCCCTTTTTCGTATGATGATATGTGAAGCAAAATCCTAGATGATCGGAACACCGATATTACTTGTTTTCAAAATAATTTAAAAGGTTGCCATCACCGCATAATCCCAATTTGTTTTTTTTTTATTAATATCAAATCAATGTAGGATATTCTCCGGTCCCGACATTAGATATTTTCTTAATAGCGGCATATAGGAAAGGGTCTCTGTCGAAGAGGCTTCCTCCAAATTTTGTATTTAGTGCTCTTATCCTTTCTCATACTTTGTTTTTTCTTTCTTTTTGTTTTCTTTTTCTTTTTCTTTTTATTGTGACAGACTTGAACTACTATTTTATTATTGTTGGTATAAGCATTGATAGCTTCGTGCAAGGATTAGAACCATCAATTAGTTCAATCATTTCATCCTTTATGGATCATTTTGTTTCAAGACGCAACTCCAAAGTTTGAGACTAAAGTGAAGGGTGGTTGTCTT